GAAAGAGAGAATATTCAATACAATATTTTTAATAATTCTTATTTAAATTCACAAAGTCCCTTTCTTTCAGTTTTCAAAACCCTAAAACTATTTCAGATTTTCAGTGTGGTCTCAAGACTGTGTGTGGCATCATGCTGGGATTAAATAAATCAACAAACATCACACAAAGAATCATAATTTATGATCTGCTGAACGCATGTCTTTTTGAATCCAAAATTTAATTAGAATTAGTAATACTATGGCAAAACTCTCCTATCAGAATATATGCGCCAATGCTTGCACAGCTGATGTGAGGTCATTTCTCACCTACCAAGAGCGAGCACTCCAACTTTTTTTTTTTTTTTATACTTCTTGGCGAACATTGATGCCGCCATACAAAATGTGTAAGCGGCGAAATGGATACAAATGACCATAAAAAGGCCTGCCGAGAGTGAAAAAGTATACTTGCAAACACAGTTCATACCTACTTCATCCATTACATAAGGCGTTCATACCTACTTCATCTATTACATAAGTCTCTGTGCAAATGTGATTAAAACATCGGTCATGGTTGCCGAGTCCATCTAAACCCGAACGGCCTCCGAACACTCGTAAACGGGAGGCAAGAGCTCTCCTTGGGTTAGGAAAATACTGAGGTCATCACAGCGAAGCCCACACTTACACTGTGGCCTGTGACCGGCTTTTCACACAGTATTAGAAGCTGCAGCCGTGCAGCTCATAAAACAATCTAATACATCATTTATTTTTCAGGATCTAGAAGCATATATAGATACAGCGTAAAGAACACACATAAGCCACAAATGAATGACCATACCATAACTTTATTGTAGATATACTCAGCTACAATTACTCAAAAAAGAGGGGGAAACAGAATTTGTAAATGTTTTTGTGATCCATAAGGTGCAGAATGCAAATCACTGCAGCACTGATACAGTATGAATGAGAAATAATCATTTAAATACACGTCCCTTAAAAATACAGAAATTGCGCTGCCGTTTGTGGCCCATAATTCCCCATTTAAAATCCCCGTACTGTTAGTGCTCTACGGTGCTCAACATTCCCATAAACCCCTTCAAGAGGAGCTTGCCACTCATTTCAGTCCTGCTATGTTGTCATTGAACACCTTGCTGCTGCTAAGAGTGCATTTGACTTTAAATCAGGCATTTTTTCCTTAGAGAAAAAAAAAAGTATGACAATTTGCTATGAAATAAAGCCCTTTTAAAGAAATTTTAGGGCTGATCTATACAATGTATTTAGTCTAAAAAGGAAATACAAGGTGGGTGAGAAGGGTGAGTTTTCACTGACATGCACTAATACATCTGGATTTATATAATCAATAACTAATATGGGTGGGAAGGGGGTGATGGGTGAGGAACAGTGCCATCCCAACATATTAAAATCATGCCAGTCGAAGGACTTGATGGGTTACATTACAATTCCATATTCAAAGTATTACATCAAGGCAGGACATGAATGTACACATAGGACACATATTTAGCCCCAGATTGTAGAGATTGGAAACTACTTTTCTACAGTGTATTTTCTCTGATGATATCCTGCAGGCACATTGTATCTCTCTGATCACTTTTAAATACATTGGTAAAATACCAGCGATGCAAACAGCAGCAAGGCCAAAACCATAAGTTATTCCTTTAAACGTTACGGCATCATATATACATGTTTTGTATTTTTTTATCGTTCTGACATGAGGTAAAGTATGGTGCCCGAGTGCAATGCTTATTTGTGCTACATGTTTAAAAAGAAAACAGAAAACAACACACACAAAAATTATTCTCCACCATGAAGGAAAATACAATCTGCAGCATGAGATACGATGGAGGACCACTTTAAGAAAACACTCCCACAGATGGTTCCAATTCTTTCCTTTTTTTTATACAATGATATCTGTTCTGTGGGACTAGCTCTGGCAAGATGATCGATTATTGGTAGTGAAAATAAAAGTCCGGGTGAAAAAAAAATCTCCATATCCATGCGGTGGCACCATATGTGTGATTTCACATTCTCTGAAAGTTAAAAACCAACGGTGAGAAGAAAGCTTAAACAAAAGGTGAAGGAAAAAAGTTTGCGCCTTTCAGAGGCTTGGAAAAAAAAACACGTAAGCTAGAAAAAAAAATTAAACACAAACAAACAAAAAAAAGTTGCAATAGTCTGAGGGTTACGGGTTACAGAAACAGTGTCATAATGCAGGGCCGGCGCGCATTGACCCTGATACGCAAACTCACGCCATTGGTTGAGGGAATAAGGAAACCCATTCATTTCCAATGACTTTCAATACTCAGCTCTGGGGTTGTGACTGAGATCATATAAAGAGGGTCACTCAACTCTTGCTAAAATGGAACCAGATTGCACTCACGCTCAAGACCAGGCGTACATCAGTTGGAGCCCCAATTGTTCATGAAATCTTGGCTATATCAGGCTAGAACTGGGTTTTAATATCCTATAAGATACAGAAGCAGAAAAATGCTAAACTTTCATGCCACAACAAACTAAAATTGGAAGGCAATATCCAGTATGAAGCATGGCACCAAAAGTCCTTAACCAAATACAAATCATAATGCAAAGAACTGCTACAGTAGCAAAGGATGAGAGTTTAGAGTTTCATCATTGTTACAGGGTTGAAAGGCACCACTTTAGAGCAAACTCCATAAAAAAAATGCAAATTCAATGTCAGTGGGAATGTTTTCTAGTGCAAATAGTCGTGAGAATATATATTTATCCCCTTGTAAGGTGCTGATGAGCGTATACAATACTGTGCCTCAATTCCATTCAGATTTGTAAAAAGGCATATCCACAAATATATTAATAAATGTTTTATGATAAGGCCAAACTATTCGCTAGGGTCTTCTGAGGTAGCAATGCCTGGGATTATGTAACTTCAGGAATAGTTTGTCCATAACATAACCGAAGAATAGCCAGAACGACGAGGGGGAAAAGTTAGGTAGCCTTCAAGATGTCAAAATTTACATAATAAAATTTGCACCCTTATTTCTGGGGTAACAATCGGTCGGTTTTTTGTATCTTTTGTATAATATATTAAATTAATTTATTGACTGAAAAAATGGTAATTAGAGTTGGTAAGACTGCAAGAGAGGCAAGTGACAAAGGCGAGATTGCATGGCTTATAAGAACATAGAGTGCAATCTATCGATTTTCTCAAGTGTTAAGTAACCCTTCTGATCAGATGCACAATTGTTTTCATGTGAAGCAAAATCAGAGCTCATCAGAGAGGCATCAAGCTTATGTGCGGAGAATGTTTTTTTTTTCCCTCAGCATTTCCTTCAAGCATAAAAACCAAAAGAATAACAAACGGGGAAACAATTTCTACAGCTTGACAAGCTGACAGAACAGAAAATCAACCCAATAGATTTCAAAAAGGTAAAATTAAGAGGTAATACAGTTACAGTGCAAAAAGATGAGAAATTCAAGCTTAAAAATAGCACCAAAAAAAAAAAAAATGCATGCAATTAACTGAGGTATTCAAGTGAAGAATGCCTATTAAAATGAAAACATTTAGGCTAGACAAGAGGCTACAACACATTTACACTAAAATAAAGGCTGGTGGTTACCACATCTCCAAACGTGTGAATGTTGAGGGATTGATTTAACAGGTGCAACCTCACAACGCTGCATCAGTATCGACTTTGGTAAGCGATGCATGTTAAGTCATCGAGCGAAATATCGGTTTGTCCTAAAGACGGTACGTAAAGGTGCTTTGTGTCTTACAGAATTATCCGATCCTATTTTTCTCTTTCCGTTTTTTTAATATAAAATCTGCAGCATATTTTCCCAGGTGATATGTCCTCCTGTTTATCGTTCGCGTCGTTATATCAAAACTAAGTCAGTCAAGTCAGTCTATGGAGATATCTAATATTCGTAAAGACTGTCAACTAAATATCATCAATATCAGTATCAAAAGACATTACTGAAACCCAAGTATCAACGAATATGTCATAATAAACATTTAATCTCATATTTTTTTAATATAACGTAGCTCTATGACGTCTATACAACCCATCCGGTTGGCTACACGAACATGCATCCTCAAGTGCCGTTAACAAGTACGTTGATTACAGTAATCGGGAATGTCAAATCCCTATCCGTCTTAAGGATGCCAGGGCATTTCTCTCTCAATTCAATACCGATCTAAACTATTTATTCTTGTCAAAATAAAGCGGACCCTAGAGAAGTGCAATTTTGATTGAGAATATATCAACTCCAACACCATCTTTCTTTCCATGTGCCCTTCCTGCCAAACGGCAGCAAAACTGGCACTAGTGCACAGACTGAGGAATTTTGTGTTTTGATGTCACTGTTTTTTTCTCTTATTTAGTTGATGCCTTGGAGTTTAACTATGTACACTGTAATACTACCTATAAGCTTTAGCTTTTTTTTACCACTACCACAAAGCAGAGCATATAACTTTTTTAATGTTAATAAAAATGGGGGGGCGGGGGGAGAAGACCTGACCTTTTTCTTAACACTTGCAATACATAAAAAAGCACTCGTGATCAAGCAAAACTGGGGAGAAAAAAAGATTGTGTTTGCGCACGTAAAGAATAAAATGAAATATGAACCCTATGTGAATTACGCTGAAATCTTTTGATTCGATTCATTTGAGTTTGACAACCCCAGTGAGAACACAGTCGGCCACGATTCTCCACTCGGTCATAAACTGGTGCCGGATTTCTAGTCGTGTCCTCTTTTAGAAGGCCTAACAAAGTAGTTTCGCTTTCACAGCGAAACACAGCGTCACACACGGCAGCCTTGAGTGAGCGGCGGCCAGCGGATTTGACGAAGGAGCGGCTGGCGGGCTTGCGGCAACTACAGGTTGTTTTTGACTGGTGCGTTGGGGTGTCTGCTGTCTGAAGCTCAGTTATTTTGGACCTGAGGTTGATTGGCTTTGAGACTGCGCAGGGCTCGGCGGGCGGCCGCTGACTTGGCTATCCGGTAGCTGCGTCCCACGCCTTTGAACTAGATTGTGTTTGCGCACGTAAAGAATAAAATGAAATATGAACCCCATGTGAATTACGCTGAAATCTTTTGACTCGATTCATTTGAGTTTGACAACCCCAGTGAGAACGCTGTCGGCCACGATTCTTGGCTGGGCCGTAAACTGGTGCCGAGAGGGGTTCTGCTGTGTTTTTGACTGGTGCGTTGGGGTGTCTGCTGTCTGAAGCTCAGTTGTTTTGGACCTGAGGTTGATTGGCTTTGAGACTGCGGAGGGCTCGGCGGGCGGCCGCTGACTTGGCTATACGGTAGCTGCGTCCCACGCCTGTGAACTTGCCTTTGCCCACCACTTCCACCGTCACCCGTACTTTTCCATCGTAGGTTCTCTCCGCAGGGCTGTCGGGAGTCAGAAAAAAAAAAACAAATAAAAAAACGGGAGATATGACTACGACTATCTACAAAAGACAAACTAAGACACAATAACAATTATCATTCATGCAAAAACAGATAACTACAAAACATGTTTAAATAAATAAATACCAAGAGCTTGTAACAATTCAAAGAAAAAGGAAAAATTGAAATCGCATCATATGACCCCTTTAAATTAAGTTTAATTCAATTATAACAACCACATCAAGAATACTATATACTATGTGGTTTACTGGTAGCAAAAAATAAATTTTTAATAATACATTTCTAAATGAAAAATGTAAAAATAATAAATGTAAAAATAATATTAATAACAACAACAATAATTTAATAATAATTTTAAGAGTTAATTAATTAATTATTAAAACATATTAGATTGAACCAAGAAGAACCACACATTTTTGATACACAGACTCACTAATTTAGGGGTAATAAAGGGGTCATATGATGCAATTTCAAGTTTTCCTTTCTCTTTGGAGTGTTACAAGCTGTTCGTGAATCATGAATAGATAAGATCCCTAAAGTTGCAAAGACTAAAGTCTCAAAACCAAAGAGATATTCTTTATAAAAG